TTTGCATCAGTTTACCTTCTTCTGCCCTTGTCAAAGTTGAGCATGGACCTTAGTCCATGGATTAAGTCCATGTGTATCCCAGCTGATACACATTTCGGTATTAGGATGATTTCTGAAGAGAGCAACAGTGACAAGTGAGTCTGTGTGACGCAGGCCAAAAGTTAGGATGCCATCGTGGAAAGAGAAAGGGCTTTGTGTCTGGCAGCCTTGTGGCCCAAGACCTTCTGCAGTTAAGTGCTTTGATCTGTAAAATGGAGAAAATGCCTCTCATCCGGTTGCTGTGAGGGTCACATGGGCTGACTTATGATAATAAGTGACTTCCATGTTGAAGGCATCTAAGAAATGATGGCTGCTGTCTGTAGTGCACCCAAGTATGGGTCAGGTTTCCTTCTGTGATTGAGTGGAACATTCTCATAGGGCCCTTCCGGCTTACACTGAGGTTCTGTGAAGTGAGGAACAGGTCCTCCTGAGTTCCAACCCACAGAATATTTATTGCTTGGATAGAAATTAAGGCCCCACCTATCATTTGGGAAAACCGATTATCAGATTTTTTTTTAACACGTACTTTTATAAACTCTGAGAGAAATGAGAAGACAGGTTTTTGGGAACAGACAATATTAACTTATGAAACAGAACACCACAAGAAGCTATTGCACTTTATATTTTTAAAAAGAGTAGGTTCTAAAATACATGGAAAAGATTTCAAGACTCTAAATGTACCCTTGGGTCTTTCTGAGTAATTGATGAAAAGGAAGGCAATACAGTGGATATATTACAAATTTAGGGAGAGGTTTGTTTTAAAACTGCTTTGTTAATCCCTTACCATTTCCCCTCCTCATTCACGGACCTCTTTCTTTGCAAAGCTTGTCTTAGGTATCCTGCTTGGTTCTGGACATGCACAGTTAATTCAGATATGTCCCTGCCCCGTGGGAACTGACAAGAGGCTGTGGTCAGCACAGAGGCTGGGGGGTTCCATGGGGCAGAGCCCAGCTCCCACACAGACTACTCTCCCGCTTGTATCCTTCACTGGACCCAAGTGAAAGCCTGCATTTCTCCTTGCACATGCCATTACTAGGCAGCTATTAAAACTCTTGGCCCACTCAAGCTGGGATTTAAAGAATCTTAGGCTTTGGAGGCATAAAACCCAAGGGAGCAGTTGCCCATTATTCATTCTGGAAGCCCACCAGTTTTGATTCCAGTCGGGTAAAATCATTAGCATTTCCCCCACGCTTTGCCTTTGGAAAACACAAATTTAGGGTATGTGAAGGATCAGTGGAGATTTTCAACCCAAGGGATGGAAAAAAACCTTCAAAATTGTTAAGTACAAAAAGAAAATTTGTTACTTTTAAAAGTTTTAGATTTTTACTACCTTTCTTAGAAGTATTTGGGATGATTTCCAGGATATAGGTGTAAAATAGATCTGTCCTTCAGTTAATAGTCGCTCCAGTTTGTTGCTTTTATTGATTTTAGCCTCTGTATAGTGTCCTTTCTTTTAAACACATTCTTAACAACTCTCTTCAGTACAAAATAGTACTTGGCTCTCTCAGCCCTTCTGAATGGTATTACTGGATGTGCTTTTCGACTGGCATGCTTTCTCATAGATGGTGTAGAAATGTTTTCCCACAGGTAGGCTGTGGGTGTATTGGTCTCACTGTGGCATCTTGGCTTGACAGTTGCGGTGGTGGTTTGCTATGAACAGGGCCCATCTCTTCTGCCTGCCTCACTGTACCTTCTCTGCTCTCTTCCATCACTGAGGAATGGCCAGTACAAATGTCTCTTCAGAGATCAGTAAGTTTTAGACCTTCAAGGGACCTTAGAAGTAACCTCCTTTAACCTACTTCTTTGACCTGATAATAGGTAACAGGCCTAGAGAAGCTATGGGATTCATTCACCTAAGGACCTTCATTAGTTAACAGCAAGAATTAGAATTCCAAAAAAAAAAAGGTTCCTGAATCCCTAAGCTTAAATCAAATGTTTAGTAAGAACTATACCTCCCTTGGTAGTATTTTGTATGGCACTGGAAGTTTTCAAGCTATTTGTCATTTATTTGGCTAGTCTTTAGGACACTGTGAGCAAATTGGTGCATTCTCAAAGTTTACAAAGTGGAAGTCACGTGTGGCATTACAGATTTTTTTTTGAAGTTGTATTATATGATTAATGGAAATGTGGATAGAAATTGTTTCAAACGACTAGAAGTAACTTGCTTTTTTTCAGTACTTTGAAATAAAGACCAAACATGAAAAGTTTTCGTTTTCTTAAAAAGATATATCTTTTATATTTATGGCCAAGAATATAGAATACAGGGATTACAATTGCTGTAGTAAAACTAGGCTTATGATTTATAAAATCAAAATATGAGCTTACGATGTAGGAGTCCTGGGCACTGCTCCTACAAGAATCAGATCTGCGACTGATCCCTGCTGTTTCCGTGGCTTTTAAAACAGATACATTCCTGTAGTGTGGGAGGGTGGCTGCACCTGGCATTAAATGGCTCTCCCCAGCAAGCCATTGTTTTGCCTACACTTTCTTTGAGATAAATAGGATTTGGGTGCTGGCTCCTCTCGCTTGTCTCCATGCCCTGCTAAGCTTGGTGTGCAGTGGCCCGTGGTTATTAAAATCCTTATCACCCATAAGGAGTTGATTATGAGCCATAGTTATTTTCTGTAATTAGAAAGGCCTGCTGAATTCAACAAGTGACTCAAAGATAGTCTTATATTTCCTAATAATTAAAAGTGTGATTAATACCAGCAATTAGTTCCTGTGATTTAACTGTTAAAAGCAGGAATTCAGGAGGTAATGCATAGGTGAGCAAGGTAAGGAGCCATAGGATATAATTTAAATTTCAGTTCCTCAGACACCAGAAGAGTTGGCCCGCATAAGATAAACTCCTTTTAATGCCATGAAACTAAATGAGACCTGCTTTACATAAATGGGCCACCTTCACAGACTGTCTACTGTCTGGCTGTGGCTCTGTGCCCTTAAATGGAAGGCAAGAGTATTCTTGCCCATCAAACTGGCACCAGGAGACCTTGAGAAGATTTCTCATTCTGCTATGCAGAATTCAGCTTTTTCAACAGTAAGGAATTAAAAACACAAGTGACCTTGTTTCGTTCTCCTGGGGCAGCTGTTTCTAAATTTTTTGCAAAATTACCTGATGGGATTGCAGCCGGAATTGAGTGCTGATAGGTAACATTTGCACTTCTTCCCAGGGCTTAGTTGGTTTATTCCATATGTTCTGCATTTTACATTTTAAAATTTTAAAAATTGACCACACAATTTTGTGTTATTAGCCGAGTAAAATAAGGTTTGTGTTAATTGGATAAGTTGTGATGTTGTTGGTAAGGAGCCCTTTCATGAGAGCTCTCTGGGGCAGTGGCCACTCAAAGCCCGGTTGTTCATTGATGGAATATTGATTCTGCTGGAATTTCAAAAAGGATGCTACGTTGATTCCACTGAGCTGGTTTTTGAGTTCTGTATCAAGAAAATGCATGGTCCGTTTATATGTGTTGGTTTGTAATAAAGTTAGCTGCATAGGCAGAACTTTGCCTGAGTTCAGGATAAGTTGTAGAATCCTAATTTGGAAACGGATTTATTCAGAAAAGCATTTTCCCACCCTTCCAACATGAAAGGGTCGAACAACCAGTCTCTTCTGTGCAAATAAGTAAATGTGAAAAGAAGCCAGGTTATTATGAAAACCCAGGTTTAGCATTATTGTCTAATGGCTTGATTATTTCAAAAATGTTTCTGTGGGCATAGTTACTCTAAACATTGACTTTACGTAAAGCATAGTCCTTATATTCTTCATCTTGTAGGTAATTAGTTTTCCCTCACACATTTTCATTCTCTTGCTGCCAGCCAGCCACAAACCATATGATGATAGTAGCATTTCATTTTCTATCCCAGGCCATTAAGTTAGGAATTTTCTCGCTTCTGAAGCCTTACAGCTGAATGTATTTATTTAATATTAATGTAAACCTCACTTAATCCCAGCTGTTATGAGTGAGTAATTCTTCACTTTTGGAAACAAGACTTAACACAGCCATGAGTATCTCATCCAGGTTGGAGTAAGGATGGGGCCATCTCCCTTCTCCCCGCCCCCAGCCGAAGGAAGAAGGGTTCCCCGTGCTAACCTGTTCTTGATGGGTGAAGGAGGGAACACTTGCACTTCCAACCTTGGTGCATTCTTTTGGAGGGCCACCTTCTGCCTGTGGCGGACACAGGTGTTCCTGACACACCCAGTTCTGGGTTGGCACTGGGCTCCTGTTACAGGAAGGGCTAGCATATCCATGTGTCATCTGTGCTTCCAGGTCAATGCACAGAGACCTATGTAATCCATTACAGAGCTGAAATAGGTGTCCAACAAAATCACAAAGCTGGAGGACTTCAGTGTCCGTGTGTGTTTTTTTATTATTATGTTAATCACCATACATTACATCCTTAGTTTTTGATGTAGTGTTCCATGATTCATTGTTTGCGTATAACACCCAGTGCTCCACGCAGAACGTGCCCTCCTTAATACCCATCACCAGGCTAACCCATCCCCCCCCTCCCCTCTAGAACCCTCAGTTTGTTTTTCAGAGTCCATAGTCTCTCATGGTTCGTCTCCGCCTCCAATTCCCCCCCCTTCATTCTTCCCCTCCTATCTTCTTAGTGTCCCTATGTTTTTAAGGGAGATTCTAGGTACTTAGTCATTAGGTATAACATTGTTGTTAAGCAGCTGTTTACTCAGAATTCCATGTAGATGACTTGCCAGTTCACTTACGAAGTTAGCTTATGTCTGTTTGAATACATAGGGTATTCAACCAAAGTGTCTGGCCACCTTGTTCTGTGCTTTGCAGTTGAGCTCTACCAAAGGGGAGACAAAGAGACATGGTGGAAGCTGGGCGCTCAGCCTGGTCTCCTCCTGCCCAGTGCAAATAGCTCCATGTTCAGTCCTCCAGGATGCTGTGAGGAGTCAACAGTTGAGTCTTAATTGGTTTTAACTTCTTTCCCCACCTTAGGATGATGATTCCAGCCCTGCCACTCCAGATGGGAATCTATCCTCCACTACAACGACCAGTGCCTTCACCATCCAGGAGTACTTTGCCAAGCGGATGGCGGAGCTCAAGAATAAGCCACAGGTCATAGCAGCAGGGCCTGACCTTGCAGAGAACCAAATAGAAAGAAAAAGGGGAAAGAAGAGAAAGAAAGGGGCAAAAGATAAAAATGTGGAGACTTACACTGAACCCCAGGCCAAGAAGAAGAGAGACCAAGTTGAACAGCAGCTTGGAGACCCTTGTTGGGATGAGAATTCTGGTGTTTCTGCTGAGGATGGAGAGGATTGTGTGTGGCCCCCTGATGACCAGGACATTACCCCAAAGCCCAAAAAAAGGAGAGAAAAGAAAAAGCTACAAAAGCAAGTTGAGGTAGCAGTGGATGCTATGTTACATGACATACCAGTAAAGAAGACAAAGAAGAAGAAGAAGAAAGGTTCCGAATAAATTCTCTCGAGCCAGGGCCTTCCAGCCATTCAGCTGTCAGGGCCCTGCAAGCAAACACCTTTGGCCTGAAGTCAGAGCAGAGTTCACCCAAGAGAGTTTGTGCACATCTTTTGACATGCCCGTGGGTTGCTGAGTCTCGCCCTCTCACCACATTTTTCCCAACACATCCCTGGAGAACTTTCTAATGTCCCAAATCATGGCTCTCATAAACAAATAAATTTCTTTTTAGACTGTGAACCCTTCAGCCTGAGTGTTTATTCATATTTATTTGAATACATTGTTACATGTGTGTAGGTATGTCACAGTCTGTATTTGCTCTTGATTTCCTTCGGTAACAATGAACTGTGCTTCCTTCTCAAGGACTCAGTCTAATTAAAGGATTAAGAGGCAATAGTTTGAATTTACATAGTTCTTTCTGTTCTACAGCCAACCATACATTTTTGCCAAGCAGGTATTATATGATTACGTTCCCAAATTGGAGTGTTGTTTGGCTTAGTTTAGTTTTGATGGGGAGATTTTTTAATATCCTCTCTTCCACAGAGCGATGATGGCTGTGTGTTCGGAGGTCTTCTCCCCAAGAAGACAAAGTTTACGAAGCAAGCTAACTCCGGGGACAGTTTAACCTTCCAGGTCTCCCAGGAGGCCTTTTAGCCAGCTAGCTGTTCCTCACGGAGTGTGGGCAGTCAGAGCTGTTTCCATGTGGTGGTGCTTGGGGCAGTCCCCTGTCGTGGGCTTGGCCTTATTTGTGATGATGAGGAGGTCCTCAGGAGGCTCAAAAATACTGAGAATCTAAGGTCATGAAATTAATTTCCTCTGGAAATAAGGCAGTTTCTAGATTGGGACTGCCTTATGAAAGTACTTAAAAGGATAAATATTGCATACATAATAAAAGGTATCTTTCTGTGCTGCTCAAACCACATGGCATCACCCTGTTGTGTTTATCCTGGCTTCTGCCATGCCCTGGCGAGCCTCCCTGTGTGCTGGTTAATCTCTCCTTGTGCAGTTTGACTTCAGAGACCCTCACGCCCTCTTTGGGACACAGTGAAAAAGAAAATGCTTCAAGTTTGGAGGTCCGGCCCTACAGTTTTCCCTGCTTGTTTGCCCTCCTCTGCCTTCTTTCTGCTCCCCATCTAGTCCTTCTTCTTCATCTCTTTGCCCCTTTACTCCCTCTCCCCTGCTCTCCTCTTATTTTCAGCCCCCAGCTTTCTCATACCCCCTTTTAGCTGCCTGCTCCCCGTGCCCTCTTGCAGTTTGCGCTGCTTGGCCCACTCTGCTGGACCTGTGACCGTAGATGGGGGCGGGGGTGGTGGGCTCTACCCCCTGATGTCGAGATTAGCACGGTCTGATGACCTTTGGCCCTTGATTCAAACTCTCGTGGTCATACATTACGTATGAACCATGGCCCTGAGATGCTTAGAATTGAGAAAATACATGAAGAATGTTTGGTTTTAAGTCCCTTAAAGATTCTGAAGAGTGCTTATTGTTTAAACACACACATACACGCACATCCCACAGAGAAAAGTCATGAATTCAGAGCCTGAGGTCTAGTTTCTCAGTTTTATCTTGGCTCCCAGAATTTAGAATCCCAGGCTATGGTCCAGGCTAATAAAACACCCAAGATTTTTAAAGTCAATTTTCTTTACAGAGGACACATGCTCAAGTTATGTCTGCTTGTCCTATCTTGTCAATGAAACTAGAGTTCCAGAAGGGAGTTGGGATGTATAAAACCTAAAGGGAACTATCTTTTAAATATATATATAAATATAAATAAATATACATATATATAGTTTTATATATGTGTGTGTATATGTTTATTATATATAGTCTTTTTCTTTTTTGCTTTTTATTAAACTTTAACTTCTCCTACTGATAAAAATCAGTGCCAGTGGTGATTAACATAACAATAAAAAATAAAAAAAAAAGACCAATTCAAGGTCAAGCAAAAAAAAAAAAAAAATCAGTGCCAGGAGAATACACTGAATTGTGTGCAGGAGGAGGAAGCAAATGGGTATTTAGGAAGCAGATGCGATGCTTCTGGGTCAAATGGGGTGAAGGGGCCAGCTGGGAAGACCAGAAGCCAGAGGTGCTGAAGGGATGTTCTTTGGAATTCCAAGGCAATCGCACTTCGAGGGGAAGTGCAGCTTCCATTGAGCGAGCCTGTAGACTATGATGATGATTATTTTAATGGGCTGCAGAAAGAACTTCTAAATGATTTTAATGGCCAAGTGGGTAGACTGAGTAAAAGGCACACCTTCAGCAAAGAGCAGTGTGACCATTTGCTTTGAAGGACACAGAATATTTTCTCTAGACATCCTTAGCTTTAATTTTTCCCAAGTGTCTCTTTTTCAGGAGACTTAGTTTTCTGGGTCTAAGTGGAAGTCAGAACAATGGAATAAGTCCTCTTGAGGACGGCATTTCATAGGCATATTTTAAAAATTGTTCACATACGAATCCTATTTTTTGCCTTAAATTATCAGTAAAAATATATTAATTTTGTATTCTTTGCTGCTTTCTTTCAGTTTTAAGAGGAAAAGTAGGTTCTCAGGAGATTTATCCAACAAGGAGGTTCCTAAATGTTGTCTCGTAGTGCCCTTCTTTCCTCTTTTGGTTAATTTTAATAGATAATAATTATTACAGAATGAAATCCTATGTGCCTGGCCCTATTCCAAGCAGTTTAAATAAATCAACTCATGTGGTCCTCACACCACCCAGTAAGATAACCATTATTACTATTATTCCTATATCTATGAGCTTGGTTTTGTTTTCTTTTTTTGTTTACTTACGGTTTTTAGACTACACATATAAGAGAGATCATATGGTATTTGTCTTTCTCTGACTTGTTTCACTTAGCATAATGACCTCGAGGTCCATCCATGTAACAACAAATGGCAAGATTTCATTCTTTTTTATGGCTGAATAATACTCTTTGTGTATTTATAAATTTCTTTATCTTTCCATCCATTGATGGACACTTCGGTTTTTTCCCTGTCTTAGCCATTGTAAATAATGCTGCAATGAACGTGGAGGTGCATATATCTTTTCAAATTAGTGTTTTTGTTTTCTTTAGATAAATGCCCAGAAATGGAGATGCAGGATCATATGGTTATATTTTTAATTTTGTGAGGAACTTCTATACTGTTTTCCATAGTAGTTCACCAGTTTACATTTCTTTCCACCAGCAGTGCACAAGGGTTCCTTTTTTTTCCACTTCTTCACCAACATGTGCTGTTTCTTGTCTTTTTGATAATAGCCATTCTAACAGGTGTGAGGTGATACTGTGATTTTGATTTCCATTTCCCTGATTGATGATGTCAAGCATTTTTTTTTTCCGTACCTGTTGGCCATTTGTATGTCTTCTTTGTTTCAATGTCTGTTCAGATCTTCTGCCTGTTGTTTAATCAGATTTTTGTCTTTTTCTTTTTCTTTTTTTGCTATTGAGTTGTATGAGTTGCCATTGAGTTCTTTATATATTTGGGATATTAGCCCCTTATCAGATATATGATTTTCAGTTATTTTCTCCCATTCAGTAGGTTGCCTTTTCATTTTGTTGATGGTTTCCTTTGCTGTGCAGAAGCTTTCTAGTTTGATGTAGCCCCGCTTGTTTACTTTTGTTTTCGTTGTTTTGGTTTTGGTATCAGATTTAAAAAAACCATTGCCAAGATCTGTCATGGAGCTTACTGCCTATGTTTTCTTCTGGAGTTTTATGATTTCAGGTCTTATGTTCAAGTCTTTAATCATTTTGAGTTAATTTTTGTGTATGGTGTAAGATAGTCCAGTTTCATTCTTTTCTATGTGGCTATCCAATTTCTTCAATACCATTTATTGAGGATACTGTCCTTTCTCCATTGTATATTCTTGGTTCCTCTGTCGCAAATTGATTAAACCTGTATGTGTGGGCTTATTTCTGGGCTCTCTGTTCCATTGATCTGGGTGTCTGTTTTTATGTCTGTATCATACAGTTTTAACTACTATAGCTTTGTTAACAGGCGTTAAAATCAGGGAGTATTTGCCTCCAGCTTTGTTCTTCTTTCTCAGAATTGCTTGACTATTCAGAGTTGTTGGTTCCATGCAAATTTTAGAATTGTTTGTTCTATTTCTATGAAGCATGCCATAGGACTTTTGATAGGGATTGCACTGAATCTGTACTTTTTTGGGGTAGTGTAGTATGGACATTATAACAATATTAATCCTTCCAATCTTCCAAATCTTTCCATTTATTTGGTCTTCTTCTATTTCTTTCATTAATGTCTTGTAGTTTTCAATATATAGGCCTTTCATCTTGGTTAAATTTATTTCCAGGTATTTTATTTGTTTGGATGCAGTTGTAAATGGCATTGTTTTGTTAATTTCTCTTTCTGATAATTTGTTATTAGTGGAAAGAAATGCAACAGATTTTTATGTATTGATTTTGTATCCTGCAACTTTACCAACTTTGTTAGTACTAAGAGCTTTTTGGTGGAGTCTTTAGGGTTTTTTGTATATAAGATTATGACATCTGCAAATCGTGACAGTTTTACTTCTTTCCAATTTTGAGTGCTTTATATTTTTTTCCTGCCTTATTGCTCTGGCTAGGATAAAAGTGGTGAGAGTGGGCACCCTTATCTTGTCCCTGATCTTAGAGAAAAAGCTTTCAGCTTTTCACTGTTGAATCTGATGTTAGCTGTGGCCTTGTCATATATGTCTTTTATTATGCTGAGGTATGTTCCCTCTATACCCACTTTTTTGAGAGTTTTTTTTATCATATTAAGTTTTGTCAGATGCTTTTCCTGCATCTATTGAGATGGTCCTATGATTGTTATCCTTCATTTTGTTAATGAAGTGTGTATCACACTGACTTATCTGCATGTGTTGAACCATCCTCACATTCCTGCAATAAATCCCTCTTGATCATGATGTATGGTTACATCTGATCTGTTAATGTATTGTTGAATTTGGTTTGTTCACATTTTGCTGAGGATTTTTACATCTCTGTTCAAGGATATTGGCCTGTAATTATTTTTGTGTTTGTGGCATCCTCATCTGCTCTTGGTGTCAGGGTAATGCTGGCCTTGTAAAATGTGTTGACAAGTTTTGCTCTCTTCTACTTTATGGAAGAGTTTGAGAAAAATTGGTACTAATTCTTCTTTGAATGTTTGGTAGAATTCACCGGTGAAGCTATCTGGTCCTGAACTTTTATTTGTTGGCAGGTTTTTTGATTACTGATTCAATCTGCTAGTAATTCATTGTGTTCAGATTTT